GGAAAGTTCTCAATAAAGATTGTTATAAAAAATAACCCCATTTTTCAGCAAAGGGAGAGTGGAAGGGGAGGGGAATCTTAACCCCTGGTGCCACCAACATGCCACCACAGAAGTGCCTAGTTCTCATGTCAGGAGCATGATACAAAAAGGTGCTATTGGCAGATTTTTCCTGCCAATCTCTGGGAAAGGCTTCATTGTGGGGAGGTGGTGGACTGGCAACAGATATTACATGATGTCATTCAATAAGTACTGTCACCAAAGGTGATGACCCTGCTTCTGTGTTGGTTTACTACTTATGTGTGCATCATAACCTAGGTTTTACTGCTGATTGATGATGTGCTATTATAGTTCCTTACCTCTTATAATTATACAAGGTTGATTCTGTTGTTATATCATTTGTCTGACTCAAGTGAAATTTATATGGCATTGTAATTGTTTGTATTGTGTTTGTGTTGGCTTTCTTTGCCCCATCTGAGGTGGTTCAATCTTCCTCCAGTTGTCAGGGAAGCCATCTCTCAGGCAGGAAAAGATGCTTTGCAGGTGTCTGTGTTTAACAAGATGAGTAATTCCCTTATACCTTTTTAACCAGACTCTTTTAATTAGCAAAACAATCGTCTTCTTTGGAGAGCTCATCTTTCACAGAGGGTTTTGTGTTGCTTTTGCAAGGATGGAGGGAAAGCGCACTGTGCAGTTTGCTCTTATCAGATTGTACTGAATTTGACTTTTTGAAACATCATGTAGCTTAATATCTTATTCAGCCTTTGATTGAAATTTATGAGACAACTAACTGAACCTCCCTTGTGGGAGCCAGAGTGCATCTATACAATGGAATTAATGCAGTTTGGCACCACCATGGATCATCTTAGAAGTTGTAAAGGATAAAATGGGGCCTCACAAGGAAATATATCCATATGTTATCCAGGAACTTAGACCAACTTTGAATGAATTGGGAATCTCAAGTCCAGAGGAATTCGGCCTCGACAAAGCATAATTTGCTATGCTATGGAGTGATGGGGTTGTATTTTTTAGATATTTAAAAGAAAGCAATGGCAAACCTCCTCTGAATATGTATTGTTGAAGGCTTTCACTGGACTCATTCGGTTGGTGTAGGTTTTTTGGGTTGTATGGCCATGTTCTAGAAGCATTCTCTCCTGACGTTTCGCCTGCATCTGTGGCAAGCATCCTCAGAGGTAGTGAAGTTTACAAACCTACAACAACCCACTCCTCTGAATAACTCTTGTCAATCTATGACAGGGTTGCCATAAGTCAGAATCAACTTGGAAGTACAAAATAAGAACAATAATGAATAGAAAATTATCTTTCTGTATTTTCCGACTGTTCCAGCCAATTGGAAATTTTTGGAAACTAAAATTTAGGGACTCATATTTAGCATAGAATAAGAGTATGCCTCAGTTTATATCAAAAGAGAGAAATGCTGCTGGGAATATTTTGTCTTGCCAGGGTATTAGCCGAATTGCAGGTTGAAGAGTAATCCCCAGAAGGACCATTATCAGATTAAAGTGGATCTTGTCACAATGTGTTCCCCTGCTGCTTGAAATTCAGTGGAGAGGTGCTAGCAACAGAGAGCATTCCTTTCAACTGTAGACCCAAGGCACCCTGCTGCTGATCCTTCTTATGCTATTGCAATTGAAGGATGAAACTAGCAAATGGTGAGCACCCAATCAGAACCAGAGCTTCATGCTTCCTGAGTCTTCCCAGGGTGGCCTCTAAATAAAGCATTATTAATTGACTGATTGATTAATTAATTAATTAAAAGATGGGAAACTAGGTAAAGGTAAGTAAAGGTTTTCCCCTGACATTAAGTCCAGTCATGTCTGACTCTGGGGGTTGGTGCTCATCTCCATTTCTAAGCCGAAGAGCCGGCATTGTCCATAGACACCTCCAAGGTCATGTGGCTGGTATGGTGCATGGAGCACAATTAACTTCCCGCCAAAGCGGTACCTATTGATCTACTAACATTTGCTTGTTCTCAAACTGCCAAGTTGGCAGAAGCTGGAGCTAACTGCAGGAGCTCTCTCTGCTCTCTGGATTCAAACCTGCAACCTTTTGATCAGCAAGTTCATCAGCTCAGTGGTTTAACTGGGGGCTCCTAAACTATGGTAATTTCTACTCTAACAACCTACACAAAAAAAAAGTATCCTTGTGAGCAAACTATCTATTTACCAATATTTCATCCATCATTTCTATTTAATATCCCGATTTTGTTCAAACAAAGGATATCCAGGTTTTTCTCTCTGTTTTGGATCCAATTTTCTCTTTAGGTCACTACTGAAATACAGAGAAATTGTGAGCTATTCAAAGCCCAGCTCCTGCTTCATAATATTAAAATTGGGTCAACTAAAAAAATCTGAGGGTTGAGTCAATTCAGGTCATTCTTGGAAAATTGTTTTGATACTTTAGCTGGTCCATAATGTTGTGGGTAGACTGCTGATTAGTACCAGTTACAGGAAGTGTATGGCACTCTTGTTATGAGAACTTTAGTACTTAATGGGCTATTTCCAGGTACAATTCAAAGTGCAGGTTCAGACCTATACAACATTGTCTTCACTATTCAAAAAGCCACATTCTAGGTTTTAAAATCATCCTGGTTGTCCCTTAGAGTCACACTGGTTAGGCATTGCTGGGAGGATATTATTTCTGTTTGCCCTCAGGCTGTATAATCCCTGGTGAGGGAGACGGTTGAAAAATCTAGGATCTTATTATTGAAATTATTATTGT